AAAAATACAATAGTACATGGGCTTTTTTCTTCAGTGCCGACACTTCTATTCTATTACTATTGTTTAATGTTGGAATATGAGCTCACCGCCTTCACTTTGCTGGGCCGCATGCATCGTACTTGCTCAAGTGTCCACGTATTCCTCATATTCTTAATAATATGGTGTCCCGTGTTATTAATATCACTCCTACGTAATACCGGGTGTTCCATAAAAAAATGATATTCAACTTTGAATGGCTATAACTCGAAAAGTATTAGAGTTAAAAAAAAGTTGGAAAGTCAGGATTTGTTCCCTATGTTTTTTTCCATCTCTCCACCAAAAATCAGACAGATCGATGTAGCCATAAGCATTTGATAGAACTTTCAGTGACGTGTGCTAAAATCGTGCTTGCGCAAAGTTTTAGTAAGATCATTTTGCATAATCATTACGTTGTCTTTACATGTTTTCTTTTTGCTGTTATTTTTTGTATCCTTAATAAATCTCGATCCATTATTCATTCACCCAGGGAGCTATTCACCCGTGATACACCCCAGGGAGCTTTTTACCCGTGATTCACCCCAGGGAGCTTTTCACCCGTGATTCACCCCAGGAAGCTGTTAACCCGGGATTCACCCTTGGGAGCTATTCACTTGTGATTCACCCCAGTGAGCTATTCACCTCAGGGAGCCTTAGATCACCTGATTCAACACCTTGTGATTTTTTCCTCTGGGAACTAGTTGCTTAAGCTCAAGTTTTGTTATAAAATCTTATTGTTTCATGACGTTTCATGAACAGATGTTTCATTCCATAATTTGAGGGTTGTGATTGGCTTGGATACGAAAAGCGCGGGAAGGCGGCCCAGCCTGCCCAGGGGTCACGCAGTGCTATGTGACGTCTTCCGCGTTCACTTGGCGTCGGTGTGCAATGTGCATACATCAAAGTAATGGACAGCTTTGTAATACATATAAAATACTCGATTACCTTTCCTATCTTCACAATCTTAACCATGCACGAAGCGTTTTCACAAGGTTCTCGCGTAATAAATCTATTTTATAAGTGATCAAAAAAAAATTAGTTCATTAGATCAAATTATTTCGAGTTTAATACAAGATTCCGTGATATTCAAAATCCAGTATTATTTGTCAAAGAATCCCTATTCGTTGCACAGACACATAAGTTCACAGATCTATCTTCTGAATTAGGATGGGTGTGAGATAATTTTATTACACAGCTTACACAGAACCTGTTTAATTTCTACTCTTCAGTAACTAAGATCTCATAGGGTGTCAGTTCAATAAGCATAGCTGTCTGTTTGCTGCGATGATGCATAGTTGACTGAATTTTTTAATATTCTCAATTTACGTATTACTTTGTAATGTACGAGGCAAATTCTCGTCCATCAGGTGGGTGGGATATATGAATATTTATTGTCAGGTCATGGATTTGGTTCGGCATCTGCCCTGGCATTGACATTGAACGTTAATGTTTGTCATCCACGGCAGGTGGATGACAAACTGACACAACGTTTAAATTTTTTCATAGATCGCCTTTATAGGAGTACAGCTTAAACATTAATTTTTCTAAACAATGCTGTTCAGTATTATTGTCACTTCAGCAGGGTACGTTACATGATCAAGATATTTCCAAATTTAGAAATAAAAAAATTAGCGATGACTCAGGCGCTTGTATTGCCGCAACTATGACAGGCAGGAGCCAGCAATTTATGGTGAGTAAAGGCTGAGGCTTAGCTAGAGTATAGACCTGTATTTTGCATGTTTCAATTCAAGTTTAACTTATATAGTAAAAAAATGGCATCATTTTGAAGAAAAAAAGTGGTCAAAGTTACCCCATTTTACGGTACATGAAAACTAGGCAGGAGCCAGCAATTTATGGTGAGTAAAGCTAGAGTATAGACCTGTATTTTGCATGTTTCAATTTAAGTTTAACTTATCTAGTAAAAAAATGGCATCATTTTGAAGAAAAAAAGTGGTCAAAGTTACCCCATTTTACGGTACATGAAAACTAGGCAGGAGCCAGCAATTTATGGTGAGTAAAGCTAGAGTATAGACCTGTATTTTGCATGTTTCAATTCAAGTTTAACTTATCTAGTAAAAAAATGGCATCATTTTGAAGAAAAAAAGTGGTCAAAGTTACCTCATTTTACGGTACTGTTGAAACTTGAAATCCTTATGAGCATACAAATTCAACCAATGAAATAGGGTAACTGAAGATATATTGATAATATACTTTTTCCATCGTAATCACCTGAATAAATGAAAGAAATAAAGTCACTTATCTATAATTCATGGAGAGTTAGATGGGCGGACCAGGGCGGTATTTGTTTTCAATGGTCCTTTCTTATGAACAATAATTCCGCTGTATTATTTACCAATAAACATACAAATTCCAGGCATAGCTTATTAAATTTAATCAGTGACAGTGCATTTGCGTAGGTAAGTTAATTTAGGTTAGGACAACAACAAAATCTTGTGATAGTTGCTGTTGCGGTGCCACTAGGAAAGACTGGAAGAGAACAAGAGGTGGCAAAGAGTGACCAGAAAGAAAAGGAGAAATGGAAAAGACAGTAGTAGAGACCTTTGAGGTGCATTGTGCATGACTTGGTCAGTTAGTGTTTGGTTGGGATCGGGGAAGGGGTTGAGAACCATTCGGGGCTTTGGCTGCTTAAGTTAGGTAGGTGATGGGAGGGTGTTGGTTCTCTATTAACATGCATTCTTACTTTTTTATTTATTGGTATTTTCTTAATTAATGAATGTGATGAATAAGGGAGCCTGGGAGGGTGATGATTGATGATTATGAAGATGAAGGCGATGGGTGAGTCGCTTGAGACTTAGAGGGAGGTTTGGTTGTCTGGTATTTTTGGTCACGTCTTTACTGCACGTCACTCTTGGTGAGTCACGCATCCGTCATAGCGATGGTGTTGTGAATGATAAGGGAATGCTGCCTTGGCCCATAAATTTGACTTAAAGTTGAATCAGCCCAAGAGCCAATGCCAACCCTCTACATGCAATAGAAATATGTAGTCAGCCTAACACCTATGCAGCTGTTCTCACTTGCCTCATCTTGCCACACCAGCTTGAAACAAGCAAGTCCTCAGCCCACAAGCTGATACTCCAAACGGATTACTCCCAATAGCTTCTACACCAATGATATGAGCCCATATCATCATTTCTTACAAATGCCTTAAGCCATAGGGTCTGCAGACCGTACCAGACTGCTGTAAATGGGAGCGGCCCCGCACCGGACTGTCGCATCACCTTACCCTCTTCGCAGGCGTAAGCCCTGACGTCCACCAGCATCTTCTTCCTCTACAGAGTCTACACTTACCCCCTTCTCTTCACCTTTCCTTGACGGGTTAGGTTAGGTAGGACTAGGATATACTTGAAACATGAGAAAGAATGGGAAACTGGGATAGAATGTGAAAATTCTTCCGCAAGCTGGTACCTAAAGGAGGGGGAGCAGGGGGTAAGCGTGGAGGTTTAGCCTCCAGAAGAACAGACAGGCAGGGGAATAGCCTTTAGAAGAACGGACAGGCTGGAGAGGTAGCAGACAGCAGTCAGTGTACTGATAGCTCTGTGGCGCAGGGCATTCTTTATTGGAAGTGGTGAAGGGGCTAGGCTGCATGGAATAGAAATATTTTGGAGTTTAGCTTGTGGGTTATGACCATTGTTTTGGCGGCTTGCAGCTCATTGGCTTGCTGGTTTACATCCATGAAAGGATTTAGTCCCTGTGGCTTTCAGCATGTAATCTTGTTGGCTAATTTCCTCTGCAGCATGCTCGCGCACGGGGTGAAGCATGAAAATTATGCTGGTATTGGGGCCTGGGCAATGCTGGGCTATTTCAGTCGTCCCGCTCAACAAACATCTTTAGGGAGTGACCTGGATGTTAGGAGTTCTGCCTAACATCCAGGCTGTTCTGCTGCCCAAAAGATTTTATTTAAATTTAGATTTTGGCCTAAAATTGAATTTTAAGCGAAAATCTTTGTGATTAACCCAAAGTCATCTTAACTGTAGCCTTCACTAACAGAGGATCTGCACGATCTGCTGTAAATGTGTTTTAGGGTTGTCCCTTATTACCCTGGAGGTTGTCCCTAATTACTGCTGGGGGGGGTGTCCTTTATTAACCCTTTGTGCAGAAATGGCTGCCATTTTCTTTTTGGAATTAGGCAAATTCCGTCAATTGCATTTTCAAGGCGACACCTGTGTGCAACTTTTATGCAAGTAAAATTTTTTAATACGGCAAATATTTTTTGCTCCAGACCTTATCAGAAGTACTTTTCCAAAATCGCACTTTTCACACATTTTTTCAGCTATTTTTTAAAGATACCATCAACCGGGGCTACTCGGGACAGTCCTCCAACACAGCGTAAACTGTTTTAGTAGCAAAACTAATTGGAATATTGCAAAACTAAATATAGTGGCGTAAACGTCAACATTTTTCCTATCTATGTAGTATATAGGAAGTCAAAAAATACTACATTTACTAGCTTTGAAAAATCCCTGAAAAAATGGTGAAGAATGCTATTTTGAAAAGTTACTTCTACTAAGGTCTGTATTAAAAAAAATATTTGCCGTATTAAAAAATTTTACTTACATAAAGGTTGCACCCTCATGTCGGCTTGAAAATTTTATTTGCAGAATTTACATACCTCAATCCTAAAAAAAATGGCAGCCATTTCTTTTGATGGTAGAACTTGTATAATGGATATGCATAGGAATATAGTCAGACTACAAAGCCATTATGGTGCCAATAATGAGGGGGTTAGCCAACTTGATGAGATTGGCTTAGGAACAAAATCTTTCAGAAAAATTATAATTTACATTTCTTCAGACTAAGGCAACCGAAATTTGAGTTTCACAATGGGCGGCCCCAAGACTTGCTATACTATAAGTATTTACAAACAAAATAATATCTTGTTGACCTTGTTCAAGAGCCATGGGTAAATGCATGCAAGTGGCGTATTCTTAACAGGCATGTTTTTGAAAAGATCTGCCTGATTTTCCAGTTTTTTTTACAGAGCAGTCACATTATTAGGCAAACTTGTGCTATGTGCAAATTTTTCTGTCTGTGATCTTAATTAACTACAATCTTATTTTGCTATTACCAAATTTCTCAGAACTATTGGTAGAGTGTTAAAGTTCTGGAAACTTACCTGCTACTTTGTCAGGTGGTTGGCTTGTCAATAAATAATTAAGAGAAATAATAGTAGTGCCCCAGGATGGATCGGGCTCTGCTGAAGGAAAGAGAAGCTTTCAAGCGCCGTGCCCTTGCCACTCCCTCGTAAGTATACTTTGTTTACTATTTTTTAGTGCAGTGATGAACCTTTATTGCTGAATTTGTCCCAAAGTTTCTTCTATGATTTAGTTTGCAATGCCAGTGATGTGTTTTACTTGTTCACCTCCACAATAATTGAGTTTGTTGATGTAACTGTTGTTTATAACCTCAAAGTAGCCTTACATCTTATGAACAAAAATGAACAGTTTAGTTTCCAGCAAAATTGGGAAAGAAATTGTATCACTCAAACAACAGAAATAAATTTCTGTCAATGATTACTCTTTATTTTATTTTCTGTAAAATGACATGTAGTATGCAACAAATGTCATTGAAAGGACATCAAATTGGACCTAAAAAATCATTTAAATTATTTACATCAGCACATTACTAACTCCTCACTGGTACAAGGATGAGATTTATCTTGTGGGACTAATTTTGTGTCTAATATGACCACTTGCTCTGACTAATTAGGGATGAAAAAACTCAATGGCATCTAAAATATTTTCTTAGTTAATCTATATCTGATTTGTGGGAATGGCTGTCATCTAATGCATATCTTTATCTTGATCATGCATCATGCCAGGCCTGCAGGTGGTGACGCAAGGTGAATTTCCTGCAGTACATGGCTGTTATTCCATTAAATTTGTCGAGAAAGTTCATTCAATGTGGCACATGTTGGAATTACCAGACTTAATAGCGGCAAAATTTGTTTGGCTACGGTATAGCTATATTTTCGCTATTATTTTGCATTCCACTGATTAAAAGTTTGTCTAAATTCATCTGTTTTGTGTTGATGCTCAAAACCATTTGTGCTCAAGCACATCACAGATATAAATGATAATTTTCTCCTTAATTTCATTTGTAAAATTTTTCCCTAGTATATACCTATATGTGATTCTGAAGTAAAGGTTGATAAAAATGTATAAAAGGTAAATAAAGAGGTTGAATCTGAATTAAAGGTTGATTGTTAATTTTTCCTGAGATACTTTTAATAATTCAAGTTATGGAATGATGGGGAGTTAATAACTTTTCATAATTGATTGAAGTACCACCGGTAATTAAAATAAAAGATTAAGAAATGCATTTGGGGGTTCTTTATATTCAATGGTAGTACTACTTATGATTTTAAAACATTTATCTGGTCAATGACAGGAATGAAACTCTTTAAATACTATTTAAGGCTTGCAGTAGCAAGAAAAGTTGAGGTGTTGCCACTATTTGAGTACTGTGTCTAAACAATTAACCCTTTAGCAGGCAAGCATTGAAATATCCAGAAATTAAAATTTCAGAAACCATTTCCAGAAAGTAAGAAGTACCTATTATACAATATATTTATTTCTATGAATTTTTGCAAATTTTGCCTATTGAAGGTTTAAATCGCACTTGAATTCAATAAATGCGATCAGTACACAAGATTTTTCTTTGTAATTAAAATTCAGTTTATGCAAATGAAAAATTAGAAACATAAAAATTTAATTCAATTAAACTTAATGAAGTTGCCAAAATAAATAAATATATATATTGATACTTCCACCTTTTGAAGAAAATGCGGAAAGAGCGTCAGTTCCAATGTCTGAGTCAAAACCTTCATTTAAATGCTCATATTTCAATTTGTGGACTTTGCAGCTGGTGATGCTATAGATAGAACAATGGTCAGATAATTAGTGATTGACTGAGGCATTATAAGGATGCCTCAAAAACAAAC